ATTTTTATTTAATAAAACTTATTCAATTTATCACAAAAACTTATAAAAACATTAAATATAATTAACTATTTATTTATTCTTTTATTATACAAAAAATTATATTAGAGTAATATTGATTCCACGAAGTTTAATTAAAAATTTCTCACAATTTTGTAAAATTCACGAAATTCATTACATGTCGATCACTATTGTCGATCACATGAATTATACATAATTCGAAAATTTCATTCGAATGCATGCCTGCACAGGTGCTGCACAGTCGCTGTACAAGTATGGTAAGGATGCTACACAAGAGAACATATTTCTGCACTCCAAAATAGTAGAAAAAACTTTACTTATCACATGGCTTTAGTTATTTATACTCAGAATAAAAACTGATAGTATATTAATGCCAAGTTGTAAATAAAAGTTTTTTTCTTTGATTATTGAAATTTGTTTTAAATATCCAAGTGGTCTAGATTCTATCTATTATTTGCTTAAAGGAAAATTGTCTACTGCTATGATCTTTATTAAAAACTATAATAAAAAAACTGTCAAATTTTTTTTATATTATTTGTAAAACTCCAAAGTATAATTCATACTAACCAGGAGACCGATGTTTTAATATTATTGTTACATTTATGATCTAATATTTTCATACCGATTATTCAATTCAATTCAATTGATAAATATTTTTTTAAAATAATGATTGCATTAAAATGATGTCATTTTTTAACTATGCATGTTGTTTTAGATTATAATGCGTTCTTTCTATATTTAGGTCTTACTCACAATTTATGTGATCTAAATATTATGGGAATTTTTTCCATGGAAACTTTTAGATATATAAATACTTTTGATTCATAAAAAATTTTTTTTCATCTTCTTTCTTATATACTTCGCAATCTTAACCATCTAACAACATGCAATAGGTATTCTGTGATAATATATAAATATATCAACATTATCTTTTAATAATAGCAAGTTGACAAAATTTATAAGAGTTAGTCAGGAACAAGCATGGCAGAAACAAGCAAGTGTAAGTTTAATAATATAACTATCTTATTTTGTTTTTCTTATAAATCAATAGGTAATAAAAAAGGCAGGTCAAAGACTAGCTATTTTGTTGCCGAATTGGGAACCGAAGACTCTCTATTTCCTTGTCATGTAACTGTATTCGAGAAAACAATGGTAGTATGCTATCTTCCTATCACCCACGGTACATATGTAGGACACGGTTGAACATTGTATCTCCAGTATATTTTATTATCTTATTATACATAGATTATCGAGAATGGATTGAGCTAGATTGGATTGCCTGAAATGGTATACTATCCAGAGTTCTATGTGTGTAAGCTTGGTCGAAGGAGGATCTCTAATTGACGCCATGCTTTCCTACCATACATGCTTACAATGTGTGTAAGTTGTATCAGCAGAATCCGGAGTCCCTGTTGCGATTATATGAGAGAGGCTTCATACGAGGCCCTTGGTTTTGGTTTGAGTGGTTCCTATTTGACTTGAAAAACTTAAATATAGATTTTTGTCTGAAGCTTGCTTAATAACACACGTTATTACCTTTTTATTTAAATTTTTTTAGTAAATTTATTTAAAATGCTGTGGAAAATTAGTTATTATTATAGGTTTTAATCGCAAGAAAGTAACGTGATAGGCTTAATTATTTATTTTTAATATAAGAAGCATAGAGATCGATCGATGTACTGTATTTAATAAAATTTTTTACGTAATAATAAAGTAAAATATAATTTCCGATATAATATCTATGTTAAAGAAAGAATTGCTAAAATTTTTATTATCGATAAATTTATCTAACATGAAGTTTAAGAGTGTCGATGCAAATGTAGATTACATAAAGAAACTAAGATTTGTTTTATTTGTTCTCGATGTATTTCTCAAGTTCTGCCTCTTTCTCTAAAATTTCTTCGGTGAGAGTAATCACAAGTAACTTCCATACAGCTTCAGACACTTTTCATTTACTCTTGTAGATTCGTTATCAAATTGTGTACATTTTTTGGTCAATCACTCAGTAATAATAATTATTATACAATGTAAGCCGCATTCACTTTGGGATAAGAAAATGGTCAGATCACATGAGTTAAATCCGGCGTAGAATATTTATTAAAAATTATGACGCAAATTCGCATATGTTCCCGATATGCACATGCATAATAGGTGAACTTTTAAACCTCCTCGTAGAATTCGCCGACCGAAAAACAACACTGATCTTACCTTTCTTACTAGTATCGAATTTTTGCATAAATTAAGAATAGTATTTTAAACCTGAATAAAACTATGCTATATGTACGAAAGGTTCCCTCTGAAATAACAAAGTTCTTTAACGAGAATCATTCCGTAAAATCAACGATCAGAAGTAGCATATAATACTTAATTGTTATTCTTTTTTTTCCTAGACAGATATCTGGCCCTTGCATCAGAAATCGCTTTATCATCTTTCTTTCTTTCCAATTTACTTAACTCTTGCTCCTTAAGCTTTTCTTCTTCCATCCTTTTTCGCTGAGTTTCTAAATTTTGATTTTCTAATTCTCGACTTTGCCTCTCGCGACGACGCATTTCATCGCTATTCTTGGAATTATATTTATTATCA